AATGTGACCTGACGAAATTATTTTTTATTTTTTAAGTAAGAATAGAAATATATTCTAGACATTTAAATTATTGTGAGAAAGTATTTTAATCATACTACAAACTATTTTTATAAAATGTTTCTAAAATATTTTACAATAAGTTAAATTGAAATATGAATAAAAAATTGGAAAAATATTTCTAAAAAATATTTGTTCACATTTCGTAAACACGTTTTCAGATTTTTAAATATTTCGTGCCGTTGGGGTGGAATACGAAAGTCAGAGTAGGTGAATTAATTATGTATTAATTATTTTAATAAGGACACATTCGTGTGAGTTTCATCATCTCTTGTTTACGTTGCTGAGCAACATTTTATCCAATAAACAAATCAATTATACAACTGGCAGTAATATTAATTGAAAAGCCAGAACATATTGTAAAAGCTCTTGAAAATCGGAGTTGAGTTTGAAAAAAAAAAAAAAAAAAATACAAAAAACCGAGATCAACCTTGTATTGTTGTTTAACAAGAAAAATTAGGAACAATAGTATAAAACAGTATGAATATGCACTCACCGGAAAGTCAACAGGTCGATGGGCACGTTGCAGTGCTTCAGGTGATAAACAACCTCTGTCTTTACCCGAAACTCCCGCTTGTTAACGTTCAACACTGGAATGACGCCACTTTCGAGTCCGCACGACTCGATTTCTCTGTACTCGAGGTAACCTTGGGCCAAGGCACAAACGGCGGAGTCTAAGTCGCAGGTTGGGTTGCCGAGAATCACGCGAATTTTACTGTACTCCGACAAGTTTGCCTTAAGACATAAGGATAAAGGGGATGAAACGGATTGATTTTTGACGAGATTAATTGAAATTTTTGCCATTTCTTTTGAAGCAAGATGCTTCATATTTTTTGTTAATTTTTTTTTTTTATTTTTCTATACATTTATCAAGCAGATGAAATTTGATTTTTAGAGAATTGTCCCGTTGAAAAAAAGCTACTTATAAAAAATTTCAAGGTTTTTGAAAAACATCTTAAAACACTATACCCTATGGATTTTTAAATAAAATTTTGTATCCAATTATAGGAGTGCGAAGTAAAAATAAATTTGGGATTAAAAAAAAAACTTTAAGAACAGATAAAAATATTAAAAAGTTACTCTATGTAGTTTCTTATTTTTCATACATTTCACTAATAAAATTACCTATCCATACTGATACCAAAAATTAGTTGTGGTTTCAATATTTTTTATCAAACAAAAAGCATAAGTGATATTTTTTTTAGTAAAATCGTACGCATAAAGGTTTTATTATCAATCCAAAAATTAATTAAAATTTTTCGTACAAAATAAATATCAAAATGAGTGCACGCAAGTAAGTAGTAATGAGTATTAATAATACCGCGTTATTAAAAATGCTTAAAAGCCTTTTCAGCTCATGATTATAACCCCAATTAATATTTTAAGCGCAACCGCAAAAGTTTATACGATATAAGAGTAATTATCAATATTTTATTACTTGGAAATTTTGTACGAAATAAAAAAATAAATCGTTAAAATTGATTGAACCTTTTAAATTAAATTAGTTGAAAGCTTAGTCCATATGAATTATTTATCATTACACAAAACTCATTTCCATGCATTACTAAGCTAGAAATCCCTTGCTCCATTTTTTAAATAAATCTAAAATAGTTTTTTTACTACACCCTAGGTATATGTACATGAAATGAAGGTACCATTTTTTGACCGACATATTGTGAAAAACCGTACATGGGCGGGATGCGAGAACTCCTTATTGGAGGCAAATAAATTATTCGACTTTGATGTACTGACCAACATTTTTCATGATAAAAAGATGATATCGCTTACCAAACATTTTCTAGAAGCAGCCAGGAATGCATCCATTGTTAGTTGTTATACACTCTTTTTTTAACGAAAAACTCACAAGGTGTCCAAAAAATGATGATTTCTTCGAGGCTAAAAGAAACATAAGCCAGTTATTTGAAATAAACTTGTATGAAAAATCTTGTCATCGACCGTATTAGAGTATTCAATATTAAAAAAAAAAACCTTTCGAGTAAGGGCAGAATGTTTCGAGAAACAGCATCTGCTGCAATTTCAAAATTCGCACGCATGCAATTTATTAACATCAGTTGATAACCAAAACTGTTTTGATCACATATACCTACTGTTGTCACAATAGTTTCCCTCATATCGACAGTAGAAATTTGGTAGTCGGTAAAGACAGTCACACATGTTATCATACCGCCACCATCGTGCACTATATATACATCATTCATACTTGTGTGTACTTCATCAACGCTGTCAACAGTGTCAACCACAACAATAACAAAAACAATAGCTATACCTGCCTTTATCAAAACTTTTTTTTCTTCTACACTAGGCGCAAAAAAAAAGCAAGACAAGAATAGAATGTTGTGTATATACATCATACCTGCCGTCGTCGACCAATCGATGTACCGCTAGCCGCTATCTTATCCGCAAACTTTTCGTTGACAGGCAGTCTCCTCACGGAAATATATTGTCTTCTGTACGGCTTCTCACTAAAAAATAGTAAAAATAAAGATAAAGCACACCTAACACTTACTTTATTATAGAATTTACTTACATTACGCTTCAGTTTAACGCTGACGGTGAAAATGTAGGGGTTAAGTATGGATGCGTTTTCGGAGCAACCGGAATATAAGTGTAGTTATACAGTTGTTTTTTTTTTGTGTATTTTGTTGTAATCTTAGATCTTAACAGTCAGATAGCCCGATATATATGTGCCCCGTACCCCGTTCAGTGCCCTACACAGTACACACACCAGGTGCGCATGCGGGGGCAAAATACTTCAGTAAGTATTGTAGGTATTCAGTTATTCAGTACTTCATCAGTGTTCTGCTCTCGGCACTTGGGAACGATTGACAAGAGCCGACGACAATGGGTTCCCATCCAATAAGTTGAAGAGAAGAGGATGACCTTGGGTGTCCGGCTGAAAGCTTGCTCAAGTGAAAAGCGAAGGCTGCTGGTGCTGGAGAGTGTAGGGAAACACCTACGCAAGTGAACACAGAAAAAAAGATACCTACTTACACTTGGGGAGGTGGTGTGTAAGTAGGCAAACGAACGAGAGAGGAAAAGGGAGAGGACTCTGCAGGATGTAACGGTCATGGGTGTGCTGTGGCTCGCGATGCTGCAGCCTCCGTTACAGCTGATCGACTTCTTGGGCTCTTCATTTTCCTATAGAAGTCGGCGCTGAGGAAGGAGAACAGGTTTATTGTTGTACAGTCAGTCGGGTCAGAACCCAGGAAACGAAGGTTTGTGAAAATCCTTTTGTTTTTTTTTTTAATAAAATACGCGGAGGATGCTATTGCGTGTGTGTTTTTGGCGGAGGTGGTTGACAGTGGTTGTTTGCTCGGCAGTTGGCTTGTTGAATCAACTTTGGGCGTGTGTTGTGTCAACAGTGCGTTTAAATTAGTTGCCGGATAATGTCATTTATGTAGGTGTGTGAGTACGTTATGGGTTCTCAGTGTTTTTACATCTTACACTTTGAGGAAATTAAATGAAAATTTTTTTATTTTATTTCATACCTAATAACACTTGGCACGTGTGCAATTGGTCCGATGACTGTTGATATCTATAATTACAAATCTATAGAAAATCTTGTTTTAAATCTGTCGTACCTAATGTATACTTGTGATGGATTGATTGATTTTAGCGTGACTGCACTGAACATTCAATATTCAAAAGCCCACACACTACGTGTTTTGAAATGATGCTGTAACTGTATATACTGTATGCAGATTTTTCTTGAACTTTGAGATGGTCACAATTACGTATAGTCAGTCATTGTGCTTCTTAATGACGAATAAAATATTTTTATCTTCTCAAATTTACAATATGTCTTAAGTGTTTTAATTTTTACGAAAATATCGAAACGCAGTATTTTTTATAAAAAGTTTAAACATCTAAGTAGTATGAACATTCAAGTATTGATATTAAATTCAAAGTCTCGAGATTACGGTTTTATGGAGATGTACCTACTCCTACTGGGACATAGATATATCTCAATTATCCTTTATTACATGCTTCGTTGCACAGTTGTGCACACCTTGTAATTTGAAACTACCTTTGGCAGCAATGATATAAAAACTCATACTATCAATCATAATCCATGTACGTAAGTAGTAATAAAAAGTCAATGTACTGTATACAACAAAAATTTTTTTGAAATTCGGAGAAGACCAATGAATATTGCTGAAAATACTAACCAATTACTTTTTACTAAATACATGTCCGTCAAAAACATTTCAAATTACACAAAGTAGAAATTAAAGTTGTGCACAATGTCATGATTTTCTATTTAGACTTGAACGTGATTTTTTAGCTAGATATGCAGAACTTTAAATTGGAAAGAATGTTGTAATCACAGTCAAGATGAGGTTTAATAAACAAGAGTTGATGACTCTGGCTACTCAGCCCTCGCAGAAATTTGAGAAGGAAGGTATACTTTACGTGAGAGAGCGTCAGGAAGGCTTCTTTCGTAGAACTGAGAGTAAGTCACTGCTACAGCTCTAATTCAAATTCATACATATATGTCATTAAAATTCAAGGAATGCTTGCATTACGCATTCATTCGATGTTCATCACGTAAATCGATGAGTGTTTTTAATGCCATTAATATAGTTTATTACAAGAGCTGCATGTTCTTTTTTAATTATGCTGAGTAATTTTATCACTTCATTCTCTAGAGAGTAAAGATATAAATATTAATATTATCTCATCTGTTTCGAGAAACAGCATCTGCTGCAATTTCAAAATTCGCACGCATGCAATTTATTAACATCAGTGGGAAAAAAAGTTTTTTTTTTTTTTTTTTTGTTCCCGGGGCTTTGTACACCGCGTACATAGTGGCCGAGGAAAAACTCCCGGCAGCGCGAGGAGGGAAGAAAAGTACGGGGCTTGAATATTAATCGACGCCCACCACTGAGGAGNTATGACTATATTAGGAAGCTGTGATTTAGATATTTTTGCACGGATCCCATTTTTAAATATTTCATGTTTTTAGGATAAATTTTAGATTTTTTGTTTACTCTCATGTTTGAATGTACATTTGAATTTTGCAAATTTTGTGTTCAAATGATTTAAATGTTTGTTAGCATATATTTTGTCCATGATCTAAGTAGGTCCACCACAAATTTTTTGAAATATACAATGCACCATTTTTCAGATGGCATGTCAAGTACCAGAACAATTTTCATAAATACTTTTCATAGCGTAACGCATTAATGAGGCTTTAAAGTAGTTAAAAAATTGTATTAATGTTGATTAAACGCAGTTTGTAAAAATTGATAAGTTATACAACATGAGCTTTGATTATTCAACATATATGGATACCCCAAAAACAATAAGGTTTTTTATTCCTTCGAAAAAAAGATTATCAAAACCACAGTACAAGTATGACACTAAAAAGTTGTTACGAAAATTAGATAATGGATGTTAATGAAATACATGCCTGTTAGTAGCTCATTTAATTAGTACATTTTACATGTGCTCAAACTGAAATTAATACAATTTGAGCTGCAATTATTTGTTGACTTGGAAACTTAAAAAAAAAAAAGTTAAAATAGTTGACATTATTGTGCTTCATAAGCATCACATGATTTCTTGTATATTTTCAAACACTAATTTTTTAATCCAACTTACAGTTGGTGGAGGAACTTGGAGTAAAATGATTAAAAATTTATAATCTAACTCAATCGTTTCACTTCAAAAGTAACTCATTGTAAATTTATTTCATCAAAGATCTGTAACAATACATAATATATATTCTAATTCATATTGTGTCTGAATTAATGAAACTTAACACCCCGGTTGCAACCGTTTTTTTTAAACATTTTAACAAACGGACCTACGCTTAAATGAATTTTAATCCTGTTGATAGAATACTCAGCACTCAATTTCATTTCCGTATTAACAAAAAACTTCTACATGAATAATTTTAAAGTTTCAAATAGACACCAGTGTTTCTTATCATTTGTTAATTTTTACTCAATTAACTACACTAAAGTTATTAAAATTTTCTATTGAGACTTATAAAAAAACAAAATTGAAAAATTGAAAGTGGAAAAACGAATTTTACATTATCTTTAATGTAATTTTATTTTGCGTAACTGTTTAGTTTGCAAATATATTCCAAGAACGAAGGATTGAGTTTTAAAACATATTTCGAAATAAGTGGTGGTAAATTAGTCCTTTCAAACGGGAAAAACACTCTCGACGGGATTCTCAGATTTACTCATAATTCTCAAGTGTCACAATTAACATGCAAATAATAGTAATGATAATAATGAAATGATAACAATATTGTATTAATAAACTTGTGTATATACGGGTCATGGTTAATAACAATCAGTACCTCCGTAAAATTTCCAGGTACAGGTAAAAAAGTTGAGAGCAATAAACAAAAGGGCAAAACACATAAGACTCTGCGAGACTTCAGTTGCGTTTCAGCCAGCACGAGTAAAGGTACAGCCGAGCGAATTTTACCAACTTTCAAGTGTAGACCATTGCTTTTCAATCAAAATTTTATTATGCTTGTATGAAAAAAAAACATGTGTGATAATCAAAGTGTCTGAAATCTTGGAGCCTAAAATTTTTTAAGACGAAATACAGGAAATTATTCGAAGTGGTGAAATTCATTTAATAACAGTCTATAACAATCTGCTACAAAAATGAGTTATACTTGAGAAAGTTATAAAGAAAAAAAAATTTATATATACATATATTTTAAGGCAATGTTCTTGGCTTCAAAGTGTTACCTAATACGACACTGTTCCCATCGAAGAGCTCTTGGAGTTTTTCCTCAACTAACACTCCAACCTTTTGAGTTTGTGTATACTATATGTATCTAACACTTCGTGGTTGCAGTATTTAGGACACGAAAAAAAAATGGTATACATCATTGCCGATTGTGTATGTTTTTAAACTATTTTTCACGGGCATTTATCACAATTTTACAGCCGAATCGTTAAAAGCAAAAATATTTTTACGTGTAAAAATACGACTTTAACAATTTTATAATTGTAGATATATATTATGACTGACACAAAACAGCGCACTTAAAAAAATCAGTTTGCTTCATTAACAAAAGATGACATGACTTTTTCAAAACGATAATTTTTTATTTAATAATTTTAATAGAAACTTTGTTTAGTGAATCTGAATAATATGAGAAAAGTAATTTATTCATAAAATATCTTTTTTTCATAATATTTAGAATAATTTTTTAAAACTTACTTTGGTAATTGCAAATATCAATCAATCAACAAAAAACTTACAAGTAAGAATAAAGTAAATTATTAAACATTCAGAAAAAAAATAATTGTATTATACTAGTGTATAAAAGGCAAATGAAAAATGAAAAAAAAAAAAATTGTACTTTATTTTTACGAACTCGCAAAAAACAATTGATTTAAAAATTTGGATTAACCAATTTTCAACAAATTTTCTTTCTTTTTACCTCTCAAATAATTATAAGCTAAGTATTGCAAGTATCTACAATATTCAATGTTTTTTTTTTTTGATACGATAATATTTTGCACAAAGTTTTCTTATTTAATTAATTTTTTAAAAACCCGCTTATTTATTAATTAAATAAAAAATATACATATTTTCGAGCATATTGTTATATTTTTATTGTTAAATCGTATAACAACTAAGTATGAAATTAAAGCAAAAAATCTTGTATTTAACTACTTTATTCTAAACATGATTATATTTTTTCCCTCATAATTTGTATCTTACCAATAGATTTTCTCTGTCACTTTAAAAAAACTATCAAGTTTAAAATAAAATATATGAGCTTAAAACACTTAACGATCAAAAGAAAAATTCTAAAGATTGATCACACACGTGAAATTTATTTTTGTGCGGCTTTTTTGTTTTTTTTTTTTTTTATCATCTTTAATTGTACATCAACATTTTTCACAACTTTGTGTTAAATAAGAAATAAAAAAATGTAAAAATAATTATAAAATAAAAACAAAGATAAATTCATACATAATACCACTATACTTGCTTAAAATCCCGATCACGTCAAAGCACACACAACATGCGAGTATGTAAAGCAACGCGACACGCGTCACTCGCAAAAGTTACGTGATAAGTATAGGTACGGGCTAAGTAAGCATAACACCTTTTTCTTTGCAAGACGTCAAACATCCATTAACCACACATAAGTATTTACCAATACAATATTGCTCACGCGCAGCCGAGCGCACTTTGCATGGGGTCAAAAAATAAAAACACACGTGCTTATATAGGTACACATTTAGACGTACACGTAAACGCACTCGGTAAACGTCAACTATATATTATATTATGATAAATAATTATTTACACGACTCGTGATGATAAAGTACATTTAATATCAACAGAGATAAAACCGAGAGAGCAGAGGTATATACATAAGTATACTTGCGTGCATGCAATGACGACCACAACTCACTTTCTTTTTTTTCGTTTTTACGCATATATTACTTTTTGTCTCGAGCATAATATGTACAGATGCAGATGTGTACATCGAAACAATTGCTTTTAACTGTGTATACGTTTCTAAGATACCGCATGTAATGTGTGTAGTGCATCCCTAATTGCACGTTTTTTTTTTTTTTTTAATTGTCTGTACACATAGGCATTGGCTTTTTGCTTTGCGGTGCTGGATTGCGATGCTATTTTAGTACATGTTTTTCATGTCTCACCTTAGTGTATATTGTTGCATTTGTTTTGTTAAAAAAAAAAAAAAAAAAAAAAAAAAAATGTATTGTATTTGAAAGAAGAAAAAAAAAGGGACCCAAAGAAATCATGTAACGCTCTACCAAGATATATCAGCCCTCGTTTGCATATAAAAAATCTCTTATATTTGCATTACTTTCAACTGCAATACATATAAGATCGTATACACCGTAAGCTCACGTAATATCCTCATCCGACATCCACGTAGAGTAGCACGTGTCAAAGCTTTCCTCGTCCCCCCGACATCCCCGTTCCGGTAGCGCCTCTTGCGAAAAAAGATCCCCGTAAGAATCTTTGTGCACCCCTTCCATGGGATATGTATCTACTCCAAAGCAATGAAATACATGATCGTCGCCAAAAGTACCATCCCCATATTTATGTTCTTCGTCCCCCTTTTCCTTTCACGCACCCTCGCACACCACGTTGGTTGAGCTTTTTTTTTTATCAGCCGCAAAGTTCCTCCCTTCCAAAGTGAGTATCTATACCACACATACAACAACCAACAACACGTAAAATATAAGAGCAACGAGGAAGGAGGAGGAGGAGAGTAAAGATAGGCCACTCATCGACGATTCGGCTCGTCTCTCTCTCTCTCTCTCTGTCCCGACAGTAAGCCTCGAGCGATGGTGCCGGTTGCGGGGCAATCTTCTCTTTTACTTCAAGTCGCGGGAACAGTGGTCCGAGCCTCTGGGTGTCATCATACTGGAGCAGTTTTCCGTGCGCGTCGAGCAGCCCACCAATCAGATACCCTACGGCTTCAGCATTGGTCAGTACCCTTGGCTTCTTTGAATATTGTTTGGAAAAAAAAAAAAAAATTCATTATTCAGTTAAATATAGAGTTGGCATGTTGTACGAATATATATACATGTAGGTGATCATATAGGTCGATGTTTGGTCATTATGTTTTATCGATATCACTGTGACGCATCTCATGAAAAAAGGGGCCAATTATAAAAGGGTTGATAATTATATAACGGTATTGTGCCATTGAGAAAAATTTCAAAATCCATTGAATCTGAAACCTACGCGTTTATCTTACACCTATACGGGTATCAAAAACATCTCCCAAACCATAAAGTTACCTATATTGTCATTATTATCCTATATTTCAAAGGTATGGATTTTGACGTAAACAAATTTGTAATGTTACCTTAGTGACAAGTAGATAATAACGATTTTTGGTTTGTCATCGCCGAGTATCAAAGAAACCACACTCGACCCAATGAATCGATCACCTTTTCCTATTTTCCGTAACCAAACAATACATATTTGTATCTAAATCGGTGCCTTCGGATACAATGAAGCATCACCTTACAATTTCATGCAATTAAATTTCCCAAACGATTTTCAATCACCTCAGCAACACATTGGGGTGTTTGAAAAGACACGCGTGAAAAAAAAAAAAAAAAAAAAAAGAAGAAAAAGTTTTCCTCCAATATTTCAAATCTGTAGTATTCGACGGCGGCGTTTACCAGCAACTGGGCACCAACACGCCGGAGGAGCGGGACAGCTGGCTGCAAGCTCTTCAACTGGCGAGCTACGACTGCATGCGGAGCCAGCTACTGGCGCTCAGACAACGCATGGAAGCGACCACCGGACACAAGAACGACACCGACATCCACATGCTTAGGCTCAAGCGGGGCATCACCACTGGTTCGTTTGTTTGATGTCATATCGCAATACATCTTACTTGAGCTTTCGGGAGCTTTCGCACATGTTACAAACTTTGAAATCGTTAAAAATCATTAATTTGTATTTATTGGTTTACTTTTATCCTGTATGATTCAAGTTATCGTACACCACTATTATTTCAGTCAAACATTAAACTACATTGTAATCAGTCCCTGTGTATATATATACATTTTACGGTCAGATCAGATAATCATATAAAATTAAGGTTTTTCGCCAATATTGATGTATAAATTTACTGTATATGGACAAAAAGAAGAAAATAATTACGAAATCGCCAATCGATTGAACCGATGCACCTATTGTTGTATACGATCGAGTTATAAAAAAAAAAAGCTTCTCGACTCGTCCGTCACGTGTACGTACAACAGCACATAATACGCGTACATATTTATACCCCCGGATCTCCCACGCAGTCGCGGCCCCACTAAGCGTGTGCATACACAAACTCTATAAATAATGTGTAAACCCGAAATGGAAAAAAACGAAAACAAAAACAGATCCAGCTGAAATCCCGATGTGCGAGATCTCCTTGGCGTGCGACAACCTCTTGTGCGACGGTCACGGCCGGCCCCCGAACCCAGTACTCGAGGTCGACGTCCAGACGTGCCACACGAAGACCTGGGTGAAGTACGGGCGTACCGAAGTGGTCGAGCGCAGCAGTAATCCCGGCTTCCTAACGACCGTCAGCTTCCGGGCGAGCGACGGGCTAACGGCCGAGTGCAAGCTCAAGATCACCGCCTACGACGTCCGCGAACGGGTCAGCCAGACGGCCACGCCGATCGGCAGCGCTGTCATGACCTTCAATGCTGTGCAGGACACGCCGAGGTGAGGGCTTTTATTTATTTTTTTTTTTTTCTTCATCATCGCGTGGTGTAAGGTTTTGCGTTGCTTGGAAAGAGAGTGTGGAGGCTTTGTGGTTTTGCCGCGAGTCTCTGTTTTTAAGATGCCGGTTTTTGAGAGAAGGGGAGCAATGGTATTGTATTGTACTTGAAGCTGCTCTCGGTAATTGAATCCTCCGCGAGCGGTGTCGCATGTTGGCTTTCAAAGATACGCTGTGCTCAGTTTTTCTTTCGTTTACTTTGATATTTACTTCAAGGGAGTTTTTCATCTTCGAAAGGTACTAATGAATTTTACCGTGCACGGGTATGTTTTTTGTTTTTTGTTTTTTCAAATTTGATCCGTGACTTGATTTTTAAACCTGATGTTCTTACATATTTTAGGTGTATGGCAAAATAACGAGATTGTTGCAAGTGGTTCAATTAAAAGATATTACTTGATGCGAAAAAAACAAAATCTTAATCCAACATGAAATTGACTCGTTTTAACTCCGGCAAGTATTTCTTCTCCCTCGGATACCACCAATTTCAACCTTAATTTACTTCAATCGGGGAAAATTGACTTACAACCTTTCCCGCGCTCCGCAATTTCTCTCCCTTGCTATTTACTCTCCTCACCCTCTCCATTATCACTATTGATTTTTTTTGCGCCATTAATAACTTTATCAACAATTCATGCATTTTTTACTCCGCATCGGTACACGTGCCCATTAGAGTATGAGCTTTTTTACACGAGAGCTTCTCCCTCGAGAAATATATTTTGAACCTCAAACGAGTAAACAGTGATAAACAAAATCTATAGATGAATCTCCCCGAAAAATCTAGGCTGAGGATACCTCTGAAATCCGCAAAAGCCACGACAGTCGGGTTTCTGACGATCAGCGTGTGGAACCTAGAGGCCGAGGACAAGGGCAACAGCACCGAGAGCACACCCTCGAGAAACGTGCCAAACGCGAACGGCAACCAAATGTATTGCCACAGACGCTCCCAGTCGCTTCCGCCCAGATTGGGCACCAAAATAAAGCTTCCACACCAGGGCCAACTTAAACTTCTTTTTGCCAATCCTTTTATACAAACTTACAGGTAAGCGTAGGTACTGACCTCCGTTGAAAATATCGTCTATGTATACCTTTAGGAATCACTGGTATTTTAATTAAGTTTTTTTTTTTTTTTTTTTTAAGATTTCATTCCGGTTTGGGTGGTGATATTTGCGTTCACGAGACGATGGCCGAAAGCAAGCTGTGCTTCCAGTTTCCACAACAGCTACTGTGCGTCGAATCATCATTTTTTACCATTTTTGTCTCAGCAATAAAAACAAAGTTAATATGTTTTTCTATCTCGCAGGGGACTTTGGATACAGGAGGAAAAGGAACTCCTGCAAGAGGTGGCGGGCATGGGTGAGCTGCGCGAACCCTGGCATACGAAGCAAGTCGAGCTGCTCGATCGTCACCTGCACTTGCTACACTTGTACTCCCAGGCCAAGGAAAATTTGGCTGCTTTCAAAGGTTCGATTGTTACTGTTATCCATTGTCTTTGATTTTTTTCGCTATCACATGGATGCATCCCTTGATACACATGAATTTGCATTTTCAGGGAGCCATTTTAAACAGTCCTCCCGAAAGAACGACAGGTCGCTCGAGTTTGCGCCCCTGAATTTACATTTGCAGAGAATGTGGGTTCACAACGACACGCTCAACAAGTGCGGTCTCTACGATTTCATCAGCGTCGGTGCTTTCACCGCCCACTCGCACAAGACCAAAAATGGCGGACTCTTGAGGTATGTGATCAAACGTCACGAGTTTATAGATGTACCGTGGACGTGAACAATGTATAAATTCGATGTACTCGTTACAATAATACACGACCGCAATAGGCTGGTGCAGGCGCTAAAAGAGTCACCGATGCGCGGCAGCCAACTGTACCAGGGCACGTCGAAAATAACAATGGCCCACGACGCGATACAGGCGATAAAGCAGCTTCGCCGCGACGTCGTTGAAGCGATGCGCTCGCTCATGAAGCTAGCCAAGGAGAAGCAGACCAGCGGCATGTTGCCGATCTGCGAGGACATGGTTTCAAAGACACGCATTTTACTGAGTCTTTGGGATCCTGGCCTCGTCGAGGAAGCCTTGACCTTTTTGGAGGAGCACAAGGTCGCCAAGGTGCAGGAGGACGTCGTCGGCAGCGACGAATCGCTAAGCCTCGATTTCCGGGTCAACCAGTCGCTGTCACCGTTCAAGCGCATCACCCAGCAGCTCAACTTTGACCTGAGAAGTCCAGACTTTGACGAGTTCGTCACCCCCGACACACCCGAGTGCGTTCAGGATATGTGGGCCAAGGAGAGCGCGAGGAGTAAGTTTGTTGGCTTCGGCACGCGCGACATCAACGTCATTGCACAGAAGCATCAGTCGAACGAGAATTTCGTGATATTTCCCGAGGTACGTTTCTGGCAAATAGAAATTATACACATTTTTTTTTTTTTTTTCATTCTTCTCAATTGTAATTTCAATACGATAGGTTGACGACGAGCCGAAAGAAGCTGATACGGCCGAGTACGCGGACAATGAGACGTTGAGAAACGAGGATAACAGTTATAATAACGAGGACGACGAGAGAGCCGACTACGAGCGCGCGAGCGATCTCGACCCGAGCAAGCGTTTCCTCGACACTCAGAAAATGTGCAACTCACCTTCGGCCAACTACTACAAGCCAACAGACGAGCCCGAGCCCTGGGACCTTACACAACTGAACATTGAAGCGAGTGTCATGTGTCTCGTGTCAAAGGTCAAGTTCTTGTGTGGCCGTTGCAGCAGTCCGGCTGTTCGATTGCGCAACAAAAACGGTATGGACCGCAATCAGACTTTAAAAGGTTGTCTAGTGAACAACAGGAACAACGCGAGCGCAGTGGTGACGATTCAGCCAAAGAATGGTCTGAAGACCGAGGAGGCGAGTAAGTTACTGGAGAACGGCGCGCAGGAGAGATCCATATTGGATAAGCAGTGCTCGGCTGTGACTAAGGCGAAAGAAGGTGTGGACCCAAACCTTTGGCCGTTGTTTGTGGTATCACTGTGATGATTTGTGCTGTCTTGATTTGTACTTTTTTTTGTGATGTCAATGTGTCGATTTCATAAGTATACACTGTATGTACTCATGAAAGCTTTGCCAAGTTTTTACTCCTTTTTTTTTTTTTTTTTTTATGTACGTGTAATTTTTTTTTTCTTGTTTGACTATAAATATGCGCATGAAAAATTTGCTCTCTTTCACATGCACAGTCGTCCACCCATGCTTCATTCTATGTGCACACTTTTTTTCATTTCAGTTTACAAATCGATTGAAAGCAAAAAAGAAGAAAAAAAAAATCCCTACTTGACCTCACAAAAAATCTACATTCATCCACAAAGGGCCACGATATCTTTTAACTTCTTAACACGAAAACTGAATCACCCTCATTAAACATGCATGCCTTTACGTGTAGGTGCAACTGTGATTTATTGTAATGCATCTTCCAATAAAGTGTGCCAAGCTATGGACTCGATGACCCGTGTGATCAAGAGCAACTCGACGCAGCAGAGAAACAAGTTCACGGAGGGTCTTGACTTTGCGTCCATCGTCGATTGGACGAGTGAACTGAGACCGAGTATGAAAAAATTGCGTCAAGCGATGGACGGCTTACTAAAGACTGCAAGACTGACGCACTCGGTTTTCCGAGTTCAAGAGGATGCCAAAACTGCACAACGAGTGTGCAACGTTCGCTACAGACGGGACGTGTGCTTCAGCCAAGCGGTAATAATTTCTAGAAATATCCCTCATTACATCGAGATTTATACCCGTTGTAATAATCTTTTTTCCCTTCTTCGTCTCATACAACAGTTGACAGCGCTAGTTTCTGGACTAATGGCGAAACTATGGTGCCAACGACCTGATCCAATGTTTTTACTGATTCTCACTACTCTGGGTCCACTAGTGTCTTTCGAGGGTTTATTAAGTTACTATGGGAATGAAATTGACATGTGGGGAGATATGGCTGTTGCGGTCGAGGACATGCACACGGTCACTTTTACCCTATCAAGGTGTGGAATCCAAACGAGGTATGTCGTGTATTAATTTATTCCATAGCTGTCAACTTTTTGCGTGTACGAATCGTGCAAATAAATTTAAGCAAATAATTACAATGAAATTTACAGTCGCATAGATGGAAAGCCAAAAGCCACGCAATTCCCAACGCCGCGAGTGATAGGTTCGCGAACGAATCTTACGGTACTGTTGCCGGTGCCTGATGCCATATACTCCTTACTACCTCTGATGTCGTCGTCCAAGCAGACTCTTTCATTCAACGTTACGCCTGTGTTCTTCAACATTGGCATCAATGAAATGGCTTCTCTAGCTGAGAGTCTTGGCACCACGAAGCCACAAGAAAAGAGCAACGTTGATAACTTTGATCGACTGAACGAGTATTATTTGAGATTTAAGAAGCTCAATTTGCCAACCGAACCTGCTTCCGCCAGATGTATGTATTGAAAGTCTGCACTGTTGAAAAATAATTTTTTTTAAAACATTTTCTACCATTCACGGTTTTGCAGTTGGAACGAGATTGGCTTTGAATCAGACCTTGGCTGACAAGATGGCTAATCTGAAAATTTGCGTTCACGCTAGAACAAACAAAAACGTCGAGATTCTACAGCTATCCTCACACATTTGTAGACGAATGCGGGGACTAAGGTTCACTAGTTGTAAAAGCGCGAAAGATCGCACCGGGATGTCCATTACGTTAGAGCAAGTGAATATTCTTGCAATGGAGTATCATTTGGCAGAGCATGAGATTCCAAAAGCTTTGGAGTGTATGCGAAGGTAACGTAAAATTTGACGCCAGCTGTTAAAAAAAATGTTTATAATATACTAATCTGGATTGATTGAAATTTGTAGTGAAGGATGTCGGAGAGAAAATACGTGGAAAAACATAGGCGTCAGAAAATATGCATTCAACAGTTTACAAATCTTAACGTTTCCGAAACAGTATCGTCCGCCTACTGGCACTTACGGCTCAACTCAGACTTAAATTCTATGTTAAATAACAGAGGATATATATGATATTTTAATGTCTCATTGTACAGGCTAGTTTTCCTTTTACTTTTTTTTTTCTTTAACATACCGTAGTTATTGCATATTCGTAAAAAAAGGAAAATTATAAAGTTTGGACAACTATAGGTTTTAGAGCAAACATTTTATCGTCAAAATCTTTTCTCTAAAAGGTGCTATTATTTAGGCTGATTTGTTGGTACGTCTTGTAACAAGCATTGACCTTTATATTAATGAGTAAAAGTGTCGAGGCGTAAATGTGTAAATTCTTTAAATTATTTAATTATTGTTGATTGTACAAAATTGTACAGTGCCATTGTTTTCATGCATTGTTTCAAAGAGGTAAAAGAAAAGAAAAAGTTTTTTTTTAATGTAATTTATTATATGAGATTACAGGGATATAAATTTATTTATTTATCTGTCATGTAAATAGGAAGTATTAATGAATTCCGCTATTTATATAAACATTAATATTATTACTATTGCTATTAAACGTTTTTATTTATTTTACGTTTTTTTTATTTACAAAAGTAGTATTACATCCGAATGACTAATAAAGAGCAATTGAATGATACAAAAAACGTATTTTAAGTCTGACAGCACTTTCTAAACTAACTATAACTAAAAAAATAAAGGAAATTTTTCAGCCAACTATTGTGCAAAATTTTTCAATTGCGTAAAAATGAAAAAATGTAAGTACTACTCAAAATAAAGAAACTTGTTTTAAATTATCACGATGTGTTACACTTTGGAATAAAATTATATCATTACATAAGAAACTTCAACTTCAAACTTATTTTAAACCACTTCCTTCATCTGTGAATGAAAAATTATAAATTTATAAACAGTGTCAAGCCAGTCTGACAGACACCCCACACCAGATTCCATCTAAACCTTTTTTAAAAATAATTAATACCCACACCTTATGAGCGGCAGTTTTGGGACTGAACAAAAGGGATAAAATTTGGGGCATTTGGGTGTAGGAATAAAAGTGTGTGTATATAAGTATATATACAAATATTTCATCAATGAATGAGATTTTTTTCTGGATGGGATTTGTACTTCAATAAACCTACCGATCTATCTACCGTTTCCCCCTACTGTTATTAAACCCCAACGTATGGCTAAATACACTTTATAGTGTCAAAATAGCCATGTCTGAGCCCTTAAGGGGCGATGATGAATATAAAAAAAAAAAAAAAAGTATATATACAATGTACATATATAGCGTATATATTCACTGTCCACTTCAAATCAAACTAACCAGTGGCAGCCAGTGGCTTCAAACTCTACAGAGTTCAAAGTCGATCAGTTTTCTGTTTGTTTTTCTCTCTGCATCCAAACCTCTTTTCTTCGTAATCATGCCTTTAAAGATGAAACGATAGCAGTGAAACGATTTTATCCAACATATTTATAATGGAAGCAAACAAGATCGAAGGTAAGTCAAACCGTCAAACATTACTTGTACTTAAGTATATACCTATAACCCAACTCTGCAGTTTCAAAACAAAACAGTTGACACGTAAAATTGTGAAAAGCGCGCGATCGAAAAAACCTTAAATCTCATTGAATTTTCTGAATGAAATGCACTTTGATTTTACTAACGATTACTCAATCTTTCGTTCGACAGAGATCAAAGAAGACCAGGTGGCCGTGATGTTGAAAAATATACCTGTGCTGGACGATCTTTTCACGATACACTCAAAAATCGGTGAGGGCAGTTTCAGCACCGTTTTCCTCGGTTTTAGGAAAAACCAGAATGGCAGGGACAGAAAAAAATATGCTATCAAGTATCTCGTGCCCATCTGTCATCCCAGTAGAATCGAACGCGAACTCCAGTGTCTCAAAGATATCGGGTTATTTTTTGTTAATTAATTTACTATTTTTATTTGGTGATTTTTTTGTTAACGTTTTGTATACTGTACGCACTTTGATCGAATATTTCCCTAAAATGAAAATATGTTTTGGTGAAGTTTACTAGTAATATCATCTTTTTTTTCAGAGGTCAAGATAACGTAGCTGGATTAGAGCTTTGTTTGCGTAGTGGAGGATATGTTGCCTTTATCATGCCCTTTATAGGACACAATGAATTTTCAGTAAGAAGACTATATAATTAATGTTCCATAAATAAGTTAATGGTTGTACAACAAGAATATAAATTTTCAGGAATATGTACATAAAATGGAAACAGATGAACTACGAGAATATATGAGAGCTTTGTTGACAGCCTTAAGCAGAGTGCACAGTTTTAAAATTATTCATAGAGACATTAAGCCAAGCAATTTTTTGTACAATAGGATAAAAAAAAAGTAACGACCTCTCTTAGTTGTTTATAATCATCGAGTATCTGACTAGTGATTTACAATTTATTTTTGTGCAGGTATTTATTAGTAGATTTTGGATTAGCGCAAAAATATGTTCCTAGTCAGCCTAGTACTCAAAACCCAGCAAAAACTCCTGTACCTAATAATGTTCCAGCAGCTAAAAAGAGAAAAGTAGATGAGGTAGATTTAAACAACGCAAAGTAGTCCACCAAATCTCTTGTGATAATTTAATTAATTTTCGTGTTTTTTTAGAACAAAATGGATACAACCCTGAAGAGTACAAACATTGTGTCAGTTGAAAAGTGTTATTGCTTTGGGAAGCCAAAAGTGTGTTCACTATGTTTAATAAGGCCATCTCAGACAGCACCGCGCGCTGGCACTCCTGGCTACAGGCCTCCAGAAGTTCTGTTAAAATATCCCGCCCAAACACCAGGTGAGCATATTGAATAATTATATCAATCTGTGTTATAATCAGCTGAATAATTTTCGATTTCATAATTACAGCAATCGACATATGGGCTAGTGGCATTATCATGCTGTGTATGCTGAGCGAGACTCATCCTTTTTTTCGTGCTCCCGACGATACAACTGCCCTGGCGGAGATCGTTTCGATTTTCGGTTCCACCGCGATGCAACACTGCGCAAAAAGACTCGGAAAAAAATTGATGTTTGGTTCCGATATTCCAGAAATCAATCTCGCCACCCTGTGTCTCAAACTTCAGGAACGTAACCGGGCAAAGCAGCCTCCTGTTGAAAGAGTTTACAAGGTAAACTTGATCAGATGCTTTTGTTCATTCATTTAAACACTACTATTTGATGGCCATGGTCTATCAGATTACAATATCCCATAAACTTTTTACGTTTTTCAGAGTTATCCAGACGAAGCTTATGAGCTACTGGGGAGATTGTTAGATATCAACTTCAAAACTCGAATTACTGCTGAAGAAGCGCTACTTCACCCATTTTTAAATCCATGAACTGGTGATAATTACTTAAAAAAACAAAAAGATCAAATTTGTATATATCTTTATTAAAAAACAAGCGATATATTTTGTAACACTTTAAACAAATTGTATAAGTAAAGGTAAAGTGCCGAAAAATATGTCTTAATGAGACGATGTAAATAACAATAGTTAGTAAATACGAGTGTTATATTTTTAAATAAAATCTTATAAATAAATTTATTTAAAAAATCTAAATGCAGTCTTCTACAAACTTTCAAGGCACAAAGTATCAATGTTTTATCAACATTGATGTAGAAGAACAATATTGAAGTTTTGGATTGCCAAAGAAAGTCTCTAAACTACATTTTAAAAAACAATGCATTATTTTCTTTTAATCTTAAACAAATCAATTAAATACAATATAAAATCAACAATAAACAATCTATGGAAAATCCAAAACGTCAATGAAAAAATCTCCATTAATCGGTATGTACACATACGCATGCATACGGGTTCGAGGATGAATTTTTTTCACAAACTTATTCCTCGACCTCGCTACTGTCCAAATCAACGTCATTGGGTTTCAACAATTTATAGTCAACGGCGCTCTTCAACGCGCTGTTCAGCAACTTTTTGACCTTCTCATGCTCTGGGAGTGAACTTTTAGCCAGTGCCTGCATAATCTCCGTAATATTAGTCTCGATGAGCTTCTCTGCGATTTCCTTACTCGATTTCATCATATTGTTGACGATGTACGCTCCCCTGTACTGTAAACTTTCCTTAGGACTAGACAACAAGTAACTCAACGAATCAAGCCAATCCTTGGCATCAAAGATCTTGTTGCAAACGACTTTACTGACCGAAGTCAGCATCGACAGAGCACCAGCAGCTGCCGAAGACGTTTCCTCGTCCTCGCTCATGCACAAAATAACGAGATACTTGACCCGATCGTTGTTGCCTTCGTAGTACGGTATTGTTTCGTCGCACATAATGAGATTGTTGATGAGCTGCGTGGCAGCGCGCACCAGCATGTCGTGATCCTCGTACATGTAGTTCTCGACCTTCAAGAAACAGCCCTCTTTGAGCATCCTCTTGCGCAAACTGTCGCTGACACCCGCCAAGTTGCACAGTGCCATGAGAGCTTCAAAATTCTCGAGCGCATTGCAATCTGGGTGCAACAGATCGATCAAAGGCCGGACCACCTCGTACATCCTTTGCCCAGGGAACGCGACCTGGGGGTCTATCGTAATGCCAAGACGAGCGAGCGCTTGAGCAGCTTGCTTTTTGCCCTTGTCCGTGCTATCGAGTGCCAAAGGTAGAAGCGCCTTGGCACCCCCTTGCTGGACTATGATGCCCCGAACGTCCACTACGCTGCACAGAGCATTGAAGACTCGAGCTATGAGCTCTTTGCTGTTCTTGCTGTCGGTCTTGGACAGAGCCACAAGAGCTGTGGTCACACCTTCCTTGGCGAGACAGGTGAGTCGCTTGTTGAGAAAGTCCGGGTCGTCGAGCTCCGATTCCTCGGGGATGTGATGTTTAGCGAACTTGGCGAGCTCTACCATCTCGGGAATCAACTCCTGCTTGTCGTAGGCGTTGCAGAGGTTGACGAGGGTCGTGACAACACCGTAGACGACAGACTTGTCCCCGCTCTTCGCAACCTCGATCATGGCACGGATCGCGTCCTTGTCTTCGATCATTTTCTCCTTGACCTCGGCGTCAAAAGTCAGGTACGAGAGACCCTCGATCGCCCATTTTCTCATGTCCTTATCTTTCTTAGGATTGATGAGGAACCTGCGGCATGCTTCGGCGAGCTTTTTTGATGCTCCATCGGCGAACGGGCGGATAGACGCGTCGGTGCCACCGGAACTGCTCAACTTGCAAAGGCCAACGAGGGCGCGGACTCGGATGGCATCATCTTTCGACTGATATAGCTTTTTTAAGATGTTTACACCTTGGTTTATTATGCTGGTTGCCTTGTCCTTCTTTGAGGCTGCTGCAATGATGCACTCGCAAGCAACTTTCTGCTGAAGCACGTCGTCTGAGTTTGCCATAGCGAGAATCATCTGCAGAATACCATCCCTTGCTATTATGCCGTTTCCGACATCTAGTGGTCCCAGGAGTAATGTCGTGATTGCCACTGTCACTCGCACCTATTAGCAAGCAATAAACTCATGAAAAAGCTCGATCTATGCTATGTTTTTTCAAGAGTTTTAAGGCTTTAAGGTAATCCACTCAACTTACCTTTGATTCAATGTCGGGATCAAGTAACTTTTCTTTTATGTACTCGTCTATAGCTGCGTTGAATTTCTCCTTTGCTGCGTCATAATACATGTTCTCGTAAACGCGAGCCAAGCACACACTGGTAATGGTTTTCGTGGACCCTGTGACGTTCATTGCCGACTCGTACTTGTACTCCTCGAGCTCACTGGCAACTTCCATTAATCTTTGCAAGCCCCGCTGTTCAACGAGACTCTCAGCCCAATTAAGAGTGTCGTGGTGAACGTTTCTCATGATCAACTCGATGACTGCATCTCGGCCTTCACCAGTGAACGTGCGATTCGTTGTTGAGTAAAGGAGGCAAGTTAAGATCGTGTCGATTTCTTTCTTGTACTTTTCACACATTTCCTTGTTTGGTTTTGATTCGGGTTTTGTGGTCAAACCGCTATAGCTGTTCAGAACAGTCTGCAGGAACAATTTTTTTTTTTAATGTTTCAAATGGCATAAAAATTTTGTGGGGACAAAAGATTGAGCGTAAAACGACGCTAGTTACCGTACCTGTATGCAGTATTGACCAGCATTCACTCTATCTTCATTTTTGCTGTTAATGACATCCAAGAACCAAGGAATACCTATGTCTTTCAACATTTTATCGGTTCTGTCGATACTATCCTTGCACAATTCAGCCAAAATACGAATGGCTGCAATTATGATATTCTCATTCTTCTCTGACTTTAAAAGACGATGGATCTTTATTGATATTCCTTGTTTGAACATAAGATCAGCTGCAGCTCTTTCTTTGGCTAGAACTAACAAGTTGTTCATTGCCGTTTCTCTTTTTTCTCTGTCGATGTTTGCATCAAAGGCCAGTTCAAGCATTCGTGAAACCTGGAAAAATACACATTTGTCAGAGAAACATTGAATTTTGTGAGGATTGAACATATTTCGATGGATGTTCTCAAAAGTTATTCGATACTTTACCTTATTGCCAGTATTTGAGGTTTCTCTTAATCTCTTTTGGGTGATTTCGTGTAGACTGCCCACAGTCTGCTGAATAACTTTGTTAGTAGGCTCAACTTGAATAACAGCCCTGGCATCACGGTAAGCCTCCTCAAACCTTTCCATAGCCTCAAGTGCCTGACACCTCCTGAACAAAGCTTTTGGATCATTTGGTGAGATTTTTAAAGCTTCATCACAGTCTTTGATCACTTTGTCATATTCTTTTTGCTTTAGATAAACGGCAGCTCTATTTTTTAAATACACTGCCCTGTCAAAGCTGTCTTTTTCCGCAAGTTTCAAAGCCTTTGTGTAAGACACCAATGCCTTTTCGTACAGCCCATCTTTGAACTCGGCATTGCCTTTTTCTTTCCACTCTTGGGCTGTTAACTCAGTTTTGATCATTTTTAAAGAATTCTTGTGAGTTAATCTGAAAATAAAATTCAAATTTTGTAGTCTCATTGTAAGAATCACACAAGCTATTGCATTTTCAAAAACACTGTAAAGTAATCAAAGTATGAGAGAGTGAAAATAACAAGCAAAAACACTGAACAAACTTAAGTACTTAACACAGAAAATTAATAAGCAATAAAAACAAACGTTTGAGAACTAAGAGCTTGGTAGTTTGTACGTACCTCTTGATGCTACAAAATCTCGATTTGTACTGAAGCTCCTCGTGCAGCAGGCAAGCAATAAAAAGGTTTCATAAGTATTCAAGATGCCACGAGAATCTTCCTCACGAATCTCACGACCCAGGGTTTATTTTAAGAGCAGCACTTATACTATATACATTCGTGTATACGAAATTTTCTTTCATGACCAATGAGTGAGTTGCTATCCAACAAAAATAGCTTGGAGAACCATCTCCATTCTGTAACATCGATATGTACCTACTGGTAAAACGTTTTTATTTTTATCAGCAAAGAGAGTTGAAATAAGTAGGTATTCACTTATTATTTTTCCCGATAACTTTTTTTTTGTTAACGACTAAACTTTAGTTAATGTTTCTCTCTTAAACTGTCAACCTGTACTAACCTACTAACTGTCGGTGGGTTTTAATGATATAAACAAACTTGAAAATGTCCGTGATAAGTATCGTAATAAGTAAGTTTGAACCGATTTTCACCGATATTTCGGTGTTTGTTTACAAATGAAAAATATAAAAATTTAACTTTAGCGAACCAGCGCTATCTAGCGATGCTTATTTTCTAAATTATTTTGACAAGTAGACCTCTGCTGCCTTTGCAGATTTGCACATTTTGCAGTTTGCACCAGAGCTGGTTTGCACTACTTCTACTGCAAATGTGCAAATACTGCAATAGGCTTATTTTATAAGCCGCATAAGACAAGTCAAATATTTATGGTTTTGGAGGTTCATTTTCAGGTAATAGATAAATTGCCGCGAATAAAATAAAAAATGTCCAATTTTTATTGTCTATCTATCAGATTAGTTGCGGCTGGTTTATAATTAATTTCATGGCTCTACTGTAAGAAATAATAATAATTATTATGATCAGCGCCATCTAGCGGTTTTCATTTTTTCGCCAAAAGTGGCCTCTAAAATTCTGAAACCGAGCAATCAGGATTAGAGCCACTTAATCGGTTATAAACCAGCCGCAACTCATGATGAAGCTATGAAATAAAAAAATAACGATATGTGTGTTTTTGGCGGCAAGTTAACAATATATTTTTTACCAAAAATCAACCTTCTATGTATTTATACTTTTGAAGATGAATTTTTGAGCATAATATAAATTATTAACTTGCCGCCAAAAACACATGTATCGTTATTTTTTTATTTTATAGCTACAAGGTGAGTTGCGGCTGGTTTATAATTGATTTGATAGCTCTACGCGCTAAAGCTCGGTTTCAAAAGTTTAGGGCCACTTTTTAGTTCAAAAATCTGCAACGCTAGATGGCGCTGATCCAAATAACAATACTATACTAACTACTTACAGTAGAGACACTTTGTTAACTATAAACTAGCCGCAACTGATCTTATAGATAGACAATAAAAAGTCAACGTATTTTGTGCTATTTGCGGCAAGTTTACAATTTATCTTTGAGCCAAAAATCGACACGTAAAAGTATAAATATTCTACTTATCTTATTTGGCCTATAAAATCGACCACATGAAAAAAATTGCAATACCTTAAGCTTTTTACGATTAACTTATGGAAGCACGGCCCTTTAACGTTATAGTTTAAATAAACTGTTTACTTATATGATACGTATTGTGTTACAGAAATCTAGAATAACAATCAAATAAATACATGAATTTATTAAGTAGTCTAAAAGAGATGACAGAAGAAAAAAGGCTTAAAAAAGATGTTTAGTGACACGAAAAGTCTCATGAGAATGGAGCATTGGATCTCACTAAATCAGAGGTGTTTAAGATATAAAGAAAGTGAAAATTCATAATTTTATGTTAAGGGCTTGTGTTTATTTGAAAAATAAAGAAAATTTGTTAATAAAATATAGAGCTTTATTTGTTTTACATTTAACAAATAATTAATGACGATTATACAAGCAGCTCTTAAATCTTATATTGTGAGTCTGCAGAAGCTGATCCTACCAATCCTACCTTGATTAAAAATTTTTAATTGAAATGACCTTGTATGTACACTGTTAAATGATTTTAAATATTAAAAGTTAACAAGTTCTTTTATATAATAAACTCATTTTGATTAATCCTCAAAAATAATGTAATGGTCTATGTAGGATTAAAAAACTTTCAGTGTTATGTTACAGTGCAATGTATCACACATTTATGTTGTGAGGTTTTAATATTACAATAACAAAGTTTGATAACACCCTAGTTAAAAGTCTCAACCTGTCTCAACAAGCATCATAATAAATGGATATTTGGATCAGCGCCATCTAGCGTTGCGGATTTTTGAACTAAAAAGTGGCCCTAAACTTTTGAAACCGAGCTTTAGCGCGTAGAGCCATTAAATCAATTATAAACCAGCCGCAACTCACTATAAAATAAAAAAATAACGATACATGTGTTTTTGGCGGCAAGTTAATAATCTTTTACTCAAAAATTCATCTTCAAAAGTATAAATACATAGAAGGTTGATTTTTGGTAAAAAATATATTGTTAACTTGCCGCCAAAAACACACATATCGTTATTTTTTTATTTCATAGCTTCATCATGAGTTGCGGCTGGTTTATAACCGATTAAGTGGCTCTAATCCTGATTGCTCGGTTTCAGAATTTTAGAGGCCACTTTTGGCGAAAAAATGAAAACCGCTAGATGGCGCTGATCAAAATAATTATTACTATTTCTTACAGTAGAGCCATGAAATCAATTATAAACCAGCCGCAACTAATCTGATAGATAGACAATAACAATTTGACATTTTTAATGCTATTTGTGGCAAGTTTACAATTCAGCTATTACCCGAAAACCAACCTCCAAAAGCACAAATATTTTACTTATCTTATATGACTTATAAAATCGACCATATTTACAAAATTACAATACTTAAGACCTTTTACCATTTATTTAAGTGATTGCGCGATGACTGGTCACGATGCATATGTATAATATATACTTACACTTTACCGATTTTTGGTTCGATACGGAAAGTACTCGAATTGTAAAATAAGATTGTCAATTTATTGGAGACAAATCGGATGTAAACTTTTTAAATAATTCTTTGGTATACCTGTAATTCATTTATAAATCTAGGGTCATTCTTGAATACATAAAGATTTTAATATCTTATCAAAATTGGATGAAGATTTTTTTTTTTTAATCACATAAAGGGTTTTTCTAGAAATCAGGTAAGTAAAATCGCCGACATATTTTTTCAGTAATAAATATAAATTTATTAAACGGTATAAAAATTCAATAAATAGTAGATTACGCGATTAAAAAGAGTATTAGATATTCTTATGGTTGCGTAAAAACACGCAAAAAATTGTAAAAAACACTGCATATATAATTGTTTTCTAAGGCTAATAAAAACAGCTCATTTTTAAATATATTTTTAAGAAAAAGCTACTTCTTATTTTTCGCGAAAAGTTCCTCAGTCAGGTTCAAAAATCTTTTTTGGTAATGCAACCGCGAAAATTTCTCAGCAGTTCTTCTAGCTGCTTTCCTCATGCTACGTTTGTTTGAAGACATTAGTTCAAAAGCCTCGAACAATGCTTGAGTGTACTCTTCAACTGTCTTTGCCAAGTATCCATTGGTTGAGTCTTCATCCACATTTATCAACTCGTTTCTAGCAGCACCAGAGTTATGGACTATCATTATCTGTCCAGCAGCTAGTCCAGCTATAACATCCGAGCCAAAGTGATCATCAGCCTTAGCATAAATGCCATATGACGCTTTTATCAGTTCTTCTTCCAAATGCGCTGCATGTATGTTTTGTGGGTGAATTTTCACGTTGTCCTCTAAATCGTGTTCTTTTATCATGTCTTTCAAACTTTTGAGGTATTCTTCATTCGGTTCTGTACTTAAGTTTATTAAAATCAAACGAATTTCGTTCCTGATGCCACTGTGGATTTTATTTTTCGCTTTGCTGAGAGCTTGGAGTATTAATTTGTGATTGCTTTCAACCTTGAATTCACTCGCATTTATAATTCTATAGTCGATTTTTTTCTCCCAGCTGAGATCTACTTTGGCCATTAACTTTTCCAAACCAATAGGGGGATACACAATATGGGTTTTTTCTGGACATTTCCAAATAGCATCAACATTATCTTCTGTGTAGGTGGAATTCACCATTACGATGTCTGCAAATCCACCTGTCCAGCCATACAAGAATGCAATACCTGTAAAGAACAGAAAAAGATTGTACATAAATTCATTATTAATGATCGATTTAAAAAAATATAAAATGATACCTTTACTGATACCAAGAGAACTGGGTGACCTTCTTGTTAACATGTACTGATTGTTGCTCAAAAGAACGTGTCTAGTTTTCAGTTTTTCTACCGTTACCATTGGATTGTGAATATAATTTACAACTTTACAACGTCCAACTGTTTTAAAGATGTAATTAACAAACCCATAGCCCATAGTATCAATGATGATGTGCGGCTTGAGAAGTGAAAGTGCTTCACTAGCCACCAAGATTGACCCCAAGTAAGCAAATTTCTTAATCCATTTAGTTTGACGTAGATGAACAAACTTAATATTAGGCTGTAACTTGATGTCAAACTTAGTACCTACCCTTTCGAGAATTTCTGCTGATTTAACATTCACGTCTCCTGTGTAAACAACTATGAAAGCATTAGTATGTTCAGCTTGAATTGCTTTGACTGCAGACCATAATACGTTTTCTTGAGGCGTACAGGCATTACAATTGGGATGGAAGAATCCAACTGTAATATCTTTTTTGCCTTTTTTTGGTACATACTTTCTGGTTAATCGTATTATTATGTTTCTCAATACCAAAGGACAGAGTAAGATTAAAAATATGAAAATAGTTTTTAAAAATGCATACTTCTCGCGCACCCAGTATGTAAATCTTTTTGTTGCTCCAGCCATGATCAACAAATACAAAAACCGTAATAAATATTTTTTAATTTTCTTATATATTCATTAAAAGCCATTCAGTCTCTTTGTTGCACTGTAAGTCTTCAGATCTTAAAATACTTTAATAAAACTATAATAAAATCAAATATCAGATCAACCCTAAGTGTTTATAGTTATTTTATAGCGGTATAATTAGATTAGTTAAGTATTATCAGAAGTGAATAAGTTACATGATACCGGGACTTTTGTGTTACTAAGTATTACACCATAATCTTACTACTAAGTACATTAGTCATTTATAAAAAATAAAAAAGAAAATGCAGTCCATAGAAAACATTGTTTAATGGAATTAATAGTTGTTCCTTCCTTGTACACCAATGCACAGAACTGTACTTACTGATTATCTTTGAACTCAAATATAAATATAGGTAAGTACAGGGCCAAAATTAACGTTTGTTTTTTTTCTCGCATTGCAGCTTTATAAATATATCGCTCGGATAGGTAAGTACCTATGTACTATACTATATAACTCTTTTGTTAAAACAAAAATGCGTAACGCGTTCTTGAATAAAAAAATGTGTCATAAACGTAAGTTAACTTGAGCGTAACATATACTTGATACCAGCTGGTAAGTGCTGGTATATTACGTTCACTGCTTACACGTAAAGTAAACAAACGCACCTTAACCTCAACGTCTCAATCTCAAAGAGAGTTTTTTAACTGAAGTTAGTGGTATTTTTCGAAATATGTGTACATGTGTGAAAAAGGTAAATAAGTACTTATAATTTTATTTTTAATGTAACAATTTATGAAAACGTTCGACTTTAGATTACATCTTTAAGTGTGCAGATTTTTAATGTAATCTGTAGACATATGTACAGCTGGGAAAAAAATGTTCCTTTGAAACAAAGTGTTTTTCTTAAGAGTTATGAGTGAAAGTCACATTTATATTTTTTTTGTCAGCAATTAATTAAATATTATTTAGGTCATGGCGATTAAATACTATTTTTTCCTATACTATTTTGTATTCTTATTCAAAGGTTAACAATCTAGTGCTAACGAAAATACCGAAAATTTCATGACAATAAAACAACAACGCATTGCTTATGGTATTGATCATGAATTCAAAAAAGATGATTCCCATAATGACGAAAGATCCCAGTGGTAAAGAGGGAGAAAGCAGAGCTCTTATTAAAGTCATGGACAGGCCAACATTTATCCTAAAAACGAGAGAGGGTGAGAACAGGGCTGTCTCTCCGAATCACAGAAATGGAAATAAGTAAATTGCATATACCACCCTTTAGTCAAACTTTGGAACCAGTAATAAAAAACTTTAATTTGCAGAAAAGAATCCGACTCTCATTCAAGTCTGTTGACAAAACCAATTGAAAGTTTGTTGATTTGAAACTTAGCATGACTGTTACCATACCAGTACTTTCATTTATTATTTTTTTTTACTTCCAGCACGTCCAGTGTTGTCACCTTGTCCTGAACTGGCTGGTTGTATAAAATTTATGGATGAAAATATGCAGCTGTGTGAAAATCCGCTCGAGTATTTACAAGACCAGCAAGATTTTTTGGTAGTTGGTTGCGTAGGTCTTCAAGGGGTTGGCAAATCAACAATCATGTCCTACCTCACTTCTAGTTACGTGTAGGTGTTTAAATTGTTCATTTTAACTTTACAATCACAATTTTGATCCATTTTTTAAAAGTGTTGAATATTTCAGGCCTGATATTTTTCCTACTCAAAATTTATCACATCATGAAAACGGCACTAATTGCACTAATGGCATAGACTTCTATATCACAAAGAATAGAGTCATTTACTTGGATACCCAACCGATTTTGTCTGGATCTATGGTTGATTATTCAAATTTTGATCAGAAAAAAAATTCAACCGATTTCGTAGGCAATGAATTAAATTTCGAGCTTCAGTCCTTGCAATTTTTAGCATTTTTGTTCTCAGTATGCCATGTTATTATTTTTGTTCAAGATTGGTTTGTCGATCCCAACTTACTACGGTACTACAAAACAAAAAAATTTATTGTCACTAAAGTATTAAAAACTTAAATCTTTCATAAATATAGATTCCTTCAAGCAGCAGAGATGCTGAAGCCTTCTTCTACTACAACTATGGACCAGGATTATGTGGAGTACTATCCACACATATTATTTTTGCACAACAAAGCCGAAGTGCAGGACTTCATGCCTGCTAATATAGAAATGATGAAGGTAAGTTTTTAATCCATGTTGTGATTTATTATGATGAGCTTTCTTGCCTAACAAATTTCAAATTTTTAGGATTTTTATAACAAAACTTTTTCCTCCTCTAAATTGCAAACTCACAGTAGTCTCGATATGAATTCTTGTTTTGTAGATAATCAGCTAAATTTATTTCTCTTTCCGCTTATTTCAAAAAACAGTAAGATCAATCAATTAAATAATACTTAAATTACATGATACTGAAATTAAATTTAATAAAAAAATTAAAAATTGTACCGCAGCTAAACCAATGTTTATTGAAGATGAATATAAATTGACTGATCAGTTAAAAAGGAAAATACATGGTGTTACAAGAAATGCAATGACCCCCTCTAATTTGACTGAAAGGAATTGGTAAGATGTGTTTAGTGTAGATGACAAGTATTTTATTTATCAATGAATTCAAAATGATAAAAAATTATTCCTAGGTATCACTACGTTTCAAAAGTGGCGGAAGCTATAAAGAAAAGTCATCTTTCTTCTGAATATGGCAGACTAATGCCCTGAACTGAATAAGCAATTTCTCTTTTTGACGAAGATACAAACACATGGCACGTAAGTTGATTATTGTATTAAATCAAGTAGGTTTCGAATCAATGGATAATATGTTATCAATTATACTTTATTGGAAATGTTAAAGTTACTATGTAAGAACGTAATCGCTATGAAACTTTCTTTGAATGTACTTATTACCGTATTTTAAATTTTTTATTCGCGTTAACTATTATTAGTTTCATATTTTTTTTTCTTTTTTTTTTTTTTTTTTCAAAAAAAAAAAAATACATTAATCGTAAGATCGTAAAGTTTTTCATTGTCTTATTCTTAATGCTTATTTTGCAATTAATGGTTTACAAAATTTCATAGTAACAAAAATAAATCGCGGAATTTACGTAAAACTTAAATTGTTAAGTTAATGGAACCATAGTTATAAGGTAATTTTAAGAATAATCTTCGTCATCACTGTCGCCATTTAATATAGTTGTTGGCATTTGCGCAACAGCTTGCATTTGTTGCCACTCAATCTGTTCAGCAACAGCTTGTTCCTCTCTGGCTTTAGCAAAAAGCTCCTGCTGCTGTCTAAATAATTCCTCTTCTGGTATACCTAGATTTTCTAGCCTTGTACTTTGCCTTCTTCGTTTGGCGGCCACAGCTTTGCAATCTCTGAGAACAGCCTCGGCCTCAGAACGATAGTCGCTAAAGCCTAATTTTTCGAGAGCCTGGAGAACATGTTCGGCCATGATCATTTTCTTTTGTTGCTGATTGCAGATGTCATTTGCCTCAGATGACAGTAGGTGGATGAACTCGGTGCAGCAGTTCAGGATGAGCTCGCGGGACTCATTGGCAACGCGGACGTGGGGAAGGATTTCCTTGATCATTTTGTTCATGGAAGCCCGCGGCAGAGTCAGCTCATCGTCTTCTGTAGGCGACATTCTAGCCGAGGCCATTTGTAAAACTGCAATTCGAGTGAAAATGAAGCTATGATGCTATAGACTCCAGAAGATTATTTTTCTTATTTATTCATTAGACATTCGCGATAATAACATTTTTTGTTATTAAATTATTTTTGTAAGTAACTTTGCTATTTGACTATTATTATTATCATTGTCACCATGGTAACATATAAATTTAATGAAATCTTTTTCATCACAACAATCACAACTTTGAAAAAGTATTCATTTTACTTTCATTACTCTTGGTACATCTTCTAATGAATCAATAAAATAAATCGTTAAAATTATCTTCAAAAAAGTTTTAAACTAATAATGTTAATATCATTTAACATTTTTTTTTGCTTCAAATATTCTAGTATATCATATTTTAAAAATAGAGAAATCTGAGTTTTGCTAAAGTACTTGTATAAAGTATCAATAAAGAACTATGATAAAACAGTTCATTTATGTTCAATTTATACTTTTTTTTTTCATTTAAAGTTATTTTGCAGAATAAGAAATTAAAATTGTATTCTTTTTATGTAACAGTTTTAATAATGTTACAGGAATCATAACGATTAAGCTAATAATTAATACTGTGCGAAAATTAATTTTGTCCATAAATAAATTATAGTATAGAAAACTTAAATGCAGCTGTTTGTTTGTTCCTTTTATATTGGTGAATCAAAACAATGCTTTCTTAATCAATACTTATATAGATCAAGGTTTTTGTTATGAACGTAACAAAATTGTCCTTGTTGCACATGTAATACATGACAGATTAAACTTGTTACTTTAAATAATAAAGAAAATTCAGCATCTAACTGCTTATATCACATTATTCGATGGGAACAGTAAGTAATTTGTAAAGTAGAATATTAATAGAAAATCTGGCATGCACTTGTTTGACAACAAAGGACTGACAACCTGATCACATACCCAACGAAGGTTAGGAAAAAATATGAATAAACGTAAAAACATGTAGTAATGCAATATATACTAACCAGCGTTGAAATATTAACAAGTCGAAAATATTTGAGGTTGAATTAATTAACTAATCGAAAACGGCAACTCCAAAATTGCCTATCATCAAAACAATCTGTTCAGAAACATCCAAGTGTTACATTTATTGGACGTGAGTGACTTCACCAAGTGGTTGTGAAAAAATTCTCACTATATATATACCTATAGGTATACATAAAACATTGGCAATTGCTCGTAAGGTAATACAGTCACAGCAGTGAACCAAATCCTCTTTACCATCGGAGCAGCTCATGGGCGGGGCCGGAGGGGACAGGGGAGTCGCGTTATTCTTCCCTGGCGCCACACGTTTGAATGAAAAGTTTTTCTCTCGTCGGCACCGAATGAAAAGTTTTCTCTCGCCATTCGCTGGGCTCGATATAGGTACTTATATTATTATTTATAAATTCAAACGTAGCTTTTTTATGTTGGATATACTCACCGCATGTGTAATTCAGTGAAATAAAGTTAAATCCGATTTCGAAGAAAGCACTTGGGGCACCGCGAAAAATCTTTGGCGACATGCAACAGTTGAGCATCGCGTAGCGTTTATTTTCACCTCAAGCACCCCAACCATCGAGAAAATACAATCAGTTTTACTTGGTTCCATCCGAATAACAGTTTTTCATGATATTTTGACTTACAAATTATGTCCGTCGCGTAATTCATTAAATCGAGGTTATTATCACACAATCATAATCGTTTTGTCTCGTCTGATTTTTATCCACAGATTCCGCATCGGTGCTGATACAGAGAAAACGCTCGAGAAAATGACGACAAAGAACTGGAAAAAAGGAAATATGGGATAGATACATCGTGGATTGATGTAAGTTTAATAAACTATTCATTGATTTAGACCATTTTAATTAAAATTTTCACTTTATTCCAAAACCAATCGACTTTGTCTTGACTGATTCATCCACAGATTTTTTATTGGTGCTGATATAGAGAAAACAAGACAAAAAAGTACTAAATCAAAGAAAGATATTCATCATGGATAGAGGTAAGAGAAATAAATTTAAAAAAAAAGTTGAAAATCCATAGCAATTTTAATGGTTTCAATTAACTGTTTTTTTCTTCTTTTTCATACAAAAGAAAGTCTATCTTGACACGTTTGACTTATCTGTATGTTTTTCACATCGTGATGATAAAAAATAGAGAATGGAGATATCCACCATAGGTATAGGGATAAGTCAGAAATAAAAACTATTTTAACAGTTTCAATTAATTTTCATTTTATTTTAATACAATACAAACGAAGCTTCCCTTGTCTCGTTCGACGTTACGGTATAACATGTGTGCTTTAGCAATAAATAACGAAAATTGATGGGAGTACTTACATTATGTACATTATCTTTAGGATTTGTGAACTTTTAACGACAGAGTTCATCGAGCGAATAATACGTTTAAAAGTTAATTTAATTTCATTCATGATTTACTGAATATTTACGCTAACGGATGCCAATGATTCATCAATAAATCGATGTCAAATCAAAGAAGATATAATGATACCTATCTTCTGCAGCCACACTAATCTTGCACTGACTATGATACACATAAGATAATAAAGTTTCATTGATAGATGTCATAATTAGTCGTCATGATGCGAGGGCAAAGGCAGTTTTTAATTAACCTAAAGCGCGCGCAATTAGTTGCTCAAGACAGAAAAAACTTCAAAAAAATCGATTACCTTTAGATCAAAGTTTAAAAATCCAAACTTGATTCAATAAATACTACGCAGGATGGAACATCTAAAATAGGAATAAAAATTGACAAATTGGCATCTTTAAAATACACATTACTAAAAAGTTATTGCATCCATGCGTCAATACAAACGCATTGGTACGTCTATATAATAGTTAAAGATTTTTGAGTATAAGCTGTATAAATCTAATACTTCAGAAAGAGCCTCTTGGCCATAATTCATAGTTATTATTTTTTTTTTTTTCACTACGAATCGTCAGTATAGTCACCGTATGATTCAAAAATACTGCTACGTTAGAAAAAAAAATTAAAACAAAAAGATCCTAAGCAAAGATCCCAATGCAATGACCTTTTGTAACGCGTCACATCACAAATAAACTCGAGCAAATTTTTTTCGAGTAATTCACATTAACTAAGATCTCCCTTGTACGTATACCTTACATCTCGCGCTTGATGCACTTGATAATATTATCAACGATATCCCTGCTCGACGCGTCGCCTCCCAGATCCTTGGTCTGGATCCCGGCATTGATGGTCTTATTAATGGCATTCTGAATAAGGACGGCGTGATGCTTGTGTCCCAAGTGACGCAACATATCAACGGCAGCGTTGAGCATGGCGATGGGATTGGCGATATTCTTGCCGGCTATGCTGGCGCCGGTGTTACGGGTCGCGGGCTCAAAGATCGTGTAGTGGTCGCCGTAGTTCTTACCGGCCAGTAGACCAGCTCCGCCCAACAGGCCGCACACTACGTTCGAGATGATGGCACCGTACAGGTTCGTCGTGAGCATAATGTCGAACTGGTGGGGATTAGCAACCAGCTGCATACAAGTGTTGTCGATGATCATGTCGTTGAGGACGATTTCTGGGTACTGCTTGGCCACCTGGCGCGAGGTTTCAAGGAACAAACCATCCGACAGCTTCATTATGTTTGCCTTGTGGATTGTGGTGACCTGTAATAAAATGGGTTTCATTTAGATGGGCTTGCTGACGATTGTAATTAACCAAAACTCTAGTGTATCGGTCCTCACCTTCTTCCTACCGTTTCTCCTAGCGTATTCAAAGGCATAACGAGCCACCCTTTCAGAGTTCGACTGGGTGATGACTTTCATGCTCTCGACGACGCCGTTGACGCTCTCGTGCTCCAGCATAGCGTACTCGCCCTCGGTGTTTTGCCTAACGATCACGAGATCGATGTTCTTCTGGCGGGACGTGACCCCAGGGTAGGAAACACAGTGCAGGGCGTTCACGTACAAGTCCAGCTGGTTGCGCAGGGCCACGTTGCGCGAGAGGACGCCTACCTCCTTGCTACGGGTCTCGATGTTACCCTTGAGAGCCACGCCGTTACGCCGGATCGAAGTGATCGCGTAGTCGAGGTCGTCGTTGTTGTCCGCGTTTGGATCGATGTCGATCTCCTCGAAGTCAACCGGGACGCCGGCGAATTTGAATATCTGAAGCAAAAGTATTTAATTATTTAGTCTTTTTTTTTTAATTGTTATTATGAGCCCCGTTTGTCATTATTATCATGTTTGTGTCAGTGCACGAGGCCATGTGGGCAGTAATAAGCTCTGGTTTTCAATTTTATTTTATTTTTTTCGCTTTTTGTCTCGACTCTGATTGTAAGTAATTGTTATAACAATGTGGCTATTTTGAAATTTTATCATCCAGAGGGGGAGATACCATTGAATCTCGGTGTATCTACTTACATGTTGAAAAATTATATTTTAGATTACATAATCTAATTGATTACGTTAGGATTCTTGTTTGTTTATCCAAGCATTGTTGTTGATAGTCCTGATATGTACCTATTGTTCAAAGTATGTTATTGCATTTCATTTTTTACGACGCAAAATTTTTAATATTTTTGAAAATTTATATTGAAATTTTTTAAACAATTTAAGGGTATTCCTTATTTATTTCCTTACAATGATAACTTGTTTAAGTTATTATAAACAGGTTGAAAATTAAATTGGACAGCCAATATTACATCTTTCATTTCAGTTATATGATTATTAAAAGAAAAAAAAAATATATATTTACAGGTTTGTTGTTTCAAGCTTAGTGAAAAATAGTTATTTGCGATATAGATTTCAGTATAGTTAAAACTTTAAACCTTATCTCGTTTAGTAATTGATACTCAGCTTAATATCATTGACTTGATATCAAATGTTTCATTTATTACACGTTTGGTAATGTGACATAGTTTGATACTTCCAATAAATGTTTAAATTACCAAGTACCGATTTATTTCCTATCTATATGGACACAATAATTTTATGTTAAATTAAAATTTCTATTATTTTGAATTGTGCCAACAAATCGTATAAATATTTTATAGGGGATACTTTAGATAAGACTTTATTTATTGTCTCATTGTTCTTGGATACTTTCAGGAATTTGTTAAAATTAACAACATGCAAAGGAATTTCAAAAATGTATAAGCTTTCAATAAAAAAGTAGAGCTATCGAATTACTTGAAAGGTAGTTAAAAAAGACAGTACCTCTTTCACATAACCCATCAGCTCTGGACCAATACCTGCACCAGGTAACAGGGTAACAGTATGTCGTCCACCATAGTGAGCTTTTGGTATGGGCATGATTTTTTTAATTGTTGGTTTTTGTTGCTGGATTTCAAATCCCGATATTCCGGATGACACAGATGCTGATGCCCAGCGTACATGCATCTGTGGTACAGTACATTTTGGTTGAATATATCTGAGAACACATCTGCCAGCCATGTTTAGAATTTGAAGAGATCTACAAAAAATACAATAAATGAGTTTTAAAAAATATAGTTCTCATACCGCAAGTATTGTTAAAAAAACTTTTACTTGGCAAGGCCTATTTAATCTATTTTAACAATCACCTATGAGGACCTTGCCAATTCTACTAGTTTTAGACTTGCGTCTGGTTGAAAACTGCTAGGGAGATCTAGTTATTTCTCGTAGAGAGTAATACGCGTCAGAGCTTTTATGTAAAAGCTCAGCCATTTTTTCCTTTTAACTGTCAAAATTCAAAATGTTTGGATGCAAAGCAACTCAATGAATTAATTTATAATATTTTATTCTCATCCCACTGATTAGTGTCAACATTAATATTTTACAGTAATAACATTATCATTAATAATTTTGTGATTGGAGTAACGATTTATTGTCGTAAAAGTTGCAAAGCAAGTTCCTCATCTGCTTGCAGATTTTCGTTTTCAGCTTCATGGAAGTCTTGTTGTTTTCTCTTCTTCTTGCCTATATTATCTGCAACAATAAGTTTTCTCTTCATAGGCCTGTAAAATGAAATTATCTCCGTTAGATATACTCTCCAATAATAGTGCACAGTTTTAAAAATCAAATAAATACCATAAAAATAATTGAAATAATGAAATTTTATTTACCTGTGTACATGTTCTTCGTCGCTGTCCAATTCGCTTGAATCAGATTTATTTTTCTGTTTATGTTTGCTACGTTTTTCGTCATCTGGTTCACTATCATCATTGCTATCTTCTTCGCTAGACTCGTCTTCTTTTCCACTGTCTCCATCAGATCCTTTCTCTTTACCGTAAATTACATCTGGATCAGGTAACCAAGACAAATCTGGCTCTTCATAACCATCATCATCATCTGCTTCGCTCTCAGAGTCTGATGCATTGTACTCTTTCACTTTGGAGCTCTTTCCTTCCTCAGTCTTCTGTTGTGCTTTGAGTTTTCGCTTGATCTCTTGTTTTTTCTTCTTCATCTTTTCTTTGTACAATAACTTGTCATACTTGTCTTCTTCTTGTAAAATTTGTTTGGCTAAGTTAATGTCTATGCCACCTTCCTCTTTTTCTTCGTACTGTCTGCCTATCTCTGATACTTTTGATTTTGTAGGATCGATTTGTTCCTAGATAAAAATGAAAAATTATTGCAATAATGAATAAAACCTACAAATCAACTACTGTTAATCACAAGTACCTGGCCTTCTTCGTCAAAGACAGTCTTTTTATTGGTTTTGATATTCTTTTTGAGGAGTTTTTTTGCTATCGATGCTTTTGTTATTGCTTTTTTATTTTTAGATTTTAGTGCAGCTTCGAGATCTTCTTCAGGCAAGTCATCATCAGATGATGACTCATTTGTTATTTTCTTTTTTACAGTCAACAAATCATCATCATCGTCATCATCATCAAAGTTAAAATCATCATCTGAAAATAAAATTTTTTTGAAATCACACCACCTTACTGTATGCATCCATAAATATGGCAATTATGTTTAAATGAATCTCTTACTGTTTCTGAAATTAGACTTTTTCTGAGAACTGATGCAAGATTGTTTTGTCTCTGAGCTTTCACTTTCGTGACCATTTGATATTTCTTTTTTGTCTTTATTTAAACTTGTCTCATTTTCACTAGGTTCATTTTGTTTCTTTATCTGTCGCTCTAAATAACGAACTCTCGGTGGAATAGCCAGACCAAAAGATCTACGAAATAAAAATTGTAGCATAAATTGAATACAAAACTGATTACTTTTTATTTTTTTAGTCCACTTACTTTGAAAATGCAGCTATATTCAAAGCATGGACTTTAAACACGCTTTTGTCCTTCATTAGAGAAACATTTTTTATATAAGAAACAACAGCGCGCTGTGCTGCTTCTTTGATTTCTATCCTACGAACTAGTAATGCTTCTAACTTTTTTACTGGTGAATGAAGTTTGCTTGGATTTACCCTGTGAATCATTATAAATTATTCATTGCTTTATACTTTTTATCAATATTTATCATAAAAAGTACGTACTGTATCTTATTTATGGGAATTTTTTTATTTCGAAGCTGCTCAACCATGGCTAACTCACTAGGCAAAAGAACCAACAAGGATTCGCCACTATTGTTTAACCTAGCAGTTCTTCCTGATCGATGTATGTAAGAATCTACATCCGCAGGACAGTCCATTTGTACAACCCAATCAATTTTGGGAAAATCTAAACATTAATTTTTTTTTTTTTTTATGGTTTATCATAATTAAACCAATGGTACATACAAAAATTACGAGTCTTACCTAATCCTCTTTCTGCAACATCGGTGCAAAATAGTGCTGCAAAGCTTTTGTTGTGAAATGATCTGTAAGTATCTGTTCTTCTTAGTTGACTTCTTTTTCCAGAGGTCGCTAATATACTAATGCCTGGTCTTAGATGGCAAAATGCCTCATACATAAAACTTACCTGTATAGATATAAAAGTTTAAAATTTATTTAGACTATTGTCACTATGAAAATTAAATGTAAAAATTTTTAAATTACACACTTGATTACAGGTAGAAAAAAATACTATGATTTTTTGTTTGCGATGATTGCAGAGGAAGGAGTACAAAACTGCTACTTTTTCTTCTAGTTCGCATACAATGTAACTCTGTTGGAGACCCTCAGGAGTCGCTGTTGCTGCATGCTCGTGAACAGACACATAAAATGGATCTTTTAAGCTCAGTCTTGCCAAGTCTTTTACCGATCTATTGAAAAAATTTACGTTATTATATATGGCTAATTTAGATTTCAAACTGAATTGATAGAAAAAATAATAACAAAGAAACACATTACTTTGTTTGAGTAGCAGAAAATAATAAAGTTTGACGCTCTGGTGGTAGGTAGCCAATTATATTGTCCATTGCTTCTTTGAAGCCCATGTCCAAGATTCTGTCTGCTTCGTCCAAAACTACTATCTGCGGTATTTACTGTTTGTGAAAGGGTTTATTTGGCTTAAGGTGTTAGACAGTTATGAAATTCGACATCCACTTACTTGCATGGTCAGCGTTTCAAAATTATAATTCGTTTCCATGTGAAACAACAATCGTCCAGGGGTTGCAACCACAATATTACAATTGCGTAGTCTTTCCATTTCGTCTCCAGGATTTTTTCCACCGATGATCAGTCCTATTGTAAAATTATGGAATTTGCCTACACTCTTTAATTCTTCTGCTATTTGATAGGCAAGTTCTCTCGTAGGCGTGATAATGAGAGCACCAAGCCCATCTAAATGAGTCCACTGTTTGCAGTACAAACGTTCCAGTATCTGTTGATGAATGAACATTTACAGTGTTTGCCTTTCAACTGTAACGCACATTTATAAAAATTTTGCAAATGTACGTACCGGAACAAGGAAGGCCAAAGTTTTGCCACTTCCAGTTCGAGCAGCAGCTAATACATCGTGCTTTTGCATCGCCAAGTGAATACTTTGTCTCTGAATATCCGTCATTTTACTGTAACTATTTTCGCTCAAACCTTTTAACGTGTACTTTGAAAGCGGCAAATCCGAGAATTTTTCAATCTTGGTCGGGTCTATCTGTGAATACAGCGAAAAAAAATAAATAAAAATGAAAATGCTAAGGGTTTCATAAAAACCAAAATTCCCTTCACTCACGTTCTTGTATCTAGCTTCCAATTGTGAAATTACTTCAGACGATGGCATCTTTTTTTTCTTTTTAAAAGCTACTATTTTCTTCTTCATTTTGTTATTTTTATTAAAACAAACTCTTGTCGAAACTCAAATAGTTTAAATTAAAGGTGAACAGTAAAAACTCACGGCACACTCTCGCAGCGAAACGTTAGGTTAGGATGTATACCTATTCCTGTCACTGTATATTCCACACACACGTGCAGCTGCAGCAGAAAACAAAAACACGTTTTGCGGAAATCAAGTGTCGGTAAGTCGGCAAGGTAGGACATTATATATCATCTCTCTCGATAAAACATTCGTATTTGTTATCAACTTTGCAATTTACTCCATAGATGGAGACAAGTGTTTGGTTTCTAGGTTGAAATATTTATTTTTATGCAAAACAATTTTTCTATCATAAATCAAGTATTATTAGTTGTACATTTCAATACCACTCGAAATGATACGTTTTTCTAAACAATTGTTAGATAACGCATTTTTTAAATTAAATTTTAAGATAGCACTTTTTAAGTTTTTCTTCATAAGAGGTATCAAAAAGCTGTTTACTCCACTGTAGTTTGATTCTGAGATCAGAGAGTGTGTATATCCTATGCAAAATTAATATCCCGAATCGAAAACTGTTTTTTTTCTCCGATCAAAAGACGCTGCAATACATCGTGAAGTTTTTTTTAATTTTTACTCAACTCATCCTCTTTTCAATACATTTCGTGATAAAACACTTAAATAGAGAAAGTGCCTGTAAAAATGTACTACACTATTTTATCCGATAACTAATTTTTACCGTACGAGTGATTGCGCGTTGTATGAATAAACGTTTGGCACAGTAAATAAAAATAAACTAGTATTCCACGGAAGACGTGCAATGACCAACATTTATACTGTACAACTTGAAAAATCTCAAACTGAAATTTACAAAAATCCTGGTAATCCGAAAAACGGGGTTGAAAAATGCATGTACACTCAGTGGAACTCTGATCTGTCCCGGACCCTATTTCAGAACTATGGCGTGAAGTACTGTTCAATAATAGGGTCCGGGACAGATCAGAGTTCCACTGAGTGTACATTGTACTCCCATCGCGGATATACGGAACGGAAACCTATGCCAGCGGAAGTGTATACATATTATCCCTTTCGGATCGATCTCCCACACATCTTCTCCAGCCCTTTCAAGGGGGCCTCTCGAGCCTTCCGCACTTGCATGCGTATCGCTAACCGCAGGACGCGCGTGTATGTACAGAAAAACGCAAGTACACACGCGTTATAGGTGTATTTATATGGAGCCCGTAACATACGCTAAGGAACTCGATAGGCGCTCTTGTTATGCGGAGTACTTATTATATACTATACCTGCACAAAACGCCTTGGCGTGTGCGGCTGCAACAGATCCGATGGTGTATTGATTTTGGTCGGTGCTGAAAGGGATGAGGAAATAAAAAAAGGACGAAAAATACCCAACCAGGGGGAGGAGGAGGAGGGGATGAAAATCCGCGCGAATGAGCCCACCAGCGCGTGAACAAGACGAGAGAGCTGTAGCTAAGTACTTATATAGATTATACGTATAGGCTCGCTGCTTTGCTTTCTTTTCTTCCTCGTCTTTTTAAGGGATGGAAAAAAAAGCTCTAAACTGTGGTTACACGTACGTGCACGCGGGAAGACTATACGGTTGATGGGCCCTGGAGAAATGGGATCGAGGGTTTTTCGCTCAGTGCAAACATACACACAAACACGGGCGTGCGGAGGGACCAAGACTATACTTTTTGTTACATTTCTGAGGACAGATGCTTGTGGGAGTCCCTTTGTCTTTTTGGGCGGATGATGCTTTAATAGGTTTTTTTTTTTTTTTTTTTTTGTTCATAGCGTGTCTCTTGCAACGCACAACTACAATTGTGTCCGTCGTCACTTTTTAATTCCTTGATGCGAAGAAGCTGCGGCACACGATTGCAATGCACTTGTACGACCACTCACGAATGCATCTGATGGACGGTAATGCACAAAAACCCAAAAAAGCCTCGCACGTCGTCCGAATAAATAGCAGTAGCGATTCGTGAAAATGGCCAGTCCCGTTTGTCTTTTCGATAGCTTTTCCTTTCTTACCTCGTCTTCGAGAGGGACCATACGATACAACGATATGCGTGCGATGAACGTTTCTAGCTGGCGATTCCACGTCCGAGCCGCAGTTTTGACAGTGTGACCATTGAAATAGTCTAGTGTCATAGGGTTTTCCTTACCAAGATTACTACCATGGATTTCTCAAAGACATTTATGTATCAAAAAAGAGACGTAAATGTCGATGTTGAGACCACGAAATAACTGTACGTCGCAGACTACCACTAAAACCTGTCATTGTAAGATATTTTTGACTCTCATGATTTCTGAAATTAAAATTTTTTTTTTTTTGGCACGACCAATATGTGCAAATTCCTTGTAATTTTAACAGACGAAAAATAGTTACTGCAATATACTGTATCGTACTATACTTGATGATCTAACTGTGAGCAGGTTTCATTGAAAAAAAACTCTTTCCTTCACTTTGGTCATATTAAGATCACTACGTTCTGTATGTGTTTTTATCATCTCGTAGGTTTTACATCTTTTTAATATCAAGTTTCACGAGCAGCTTCATTTTTATAGTTGAAACTCAGTGGTTTCGAATTCTGCAATTTTTGTCGGGGAAAATTTTTATGAACCTCTACAAGCCGCGAAATTATACAAAATTCATCAGTTTTTTACATTCCCAACCTTTTACATATTCACTGTAGCTCCCTGTAAGTGCATACAGCCGATAAAAGGTACGAATCCTTAAAAAATCCAACTTCTTGTTCTTTTTGAACAAGTTAATGGAAAACAATTATCATTATCTTTCTGCCTCCTCGTACGTACATCCATGAACATCTGCCTCCCCTGCAAGCACCTATACATTACCGATGTTTTGTATCCATACTCACATTGGGTCCCTCTTCCTTTGTAATATAGACAAACACACGCTCGCGCGCCTACTCCTCGGGCTCGCACGTTTGTTTGTACATCGAACCTCTACGTGTATATTCTTACGCGTATAGTTCGCGCCCAAACCAGCGTAAGCGATCTGTTTCTTTTTATTTCGACAGCCAGCAGTAACTGCAGCGGTAACTATACAAGGAATACCTAGACGTACACGTAGAAAAAAAAAAAAAAAAAAAAAAAAAAGCAATACGTGTATCCATGTATACCACTTCACGTATGGATAGCAAGTATAAGTATATATTGCCGGCGCTTTTCTCGAGAACAAGTCGAGGGTAAGGGGTACGCACGGTCTGCTGCTCGTTACGCCGGCCGAGCTGTTATTGTCTGATATGGGTATAGGTTTCAGCGCGAGGGATTTTACGGCTATGCTCTTTCTGTTGCTGTTACACGGGTGTAAGTGATCGGTGGATTTTTTTTTTAACCTCATGAATGGGTGCACTGAAATTCACGCGTACACGTGTAATGTGTACTTTTCGACGATGTTACCAACTTGTGGATCAGATCGGTTTCGCGTTAAGAAAACGTCTAGGTTTAACGTAAGTAATACTCACTGCGTGCTTACAAGGAGCTCCATTGGGTGCTTAGTCGACTTTTTTTTCAAAACAAAATTTCATGCTATGAATTATACGGTATTGTGCGATTGTTCATCGTCCGTGCAAAACAAGAGATACGTGCGTGATTTTTTAATTATTTTTTTTACACGTGTTTATATTCGTACAAATTTTGCAGATTAATTAACGCATAATCAAAGAGGCTAGTCGAGCATCTCCGTGATTGAAAGATAATGTGATGATTAAACGTCGTTAATTAAATGACCTTAATTGGATATTCGTGAACTGTTACCTGCGTCCATCCTCATCATTACCGTACGCATCATTATTTTGACAGCCCAAGTGCTCGTTGTTGGGCAATTATAAGTGAACGGATCGTTGATATTAATGTGCTGTACAACAATTTTATTACTTAATTAGCAAAACTGATGCGATGATTAAAATTTTACCTCAATTTACACGAATATTTTGGATAATCCACTAAAAAAATTATTACAAAGACCTTTTAGATTTTGCAAAAAATTATCGTTTTTTCATGAAAAAATGTTATCAATTTTCATCTCAATAAATTGTACTCATAAACCATATACTTCCTGTACCCTGAAAGATCAATAGCTCGGGTGGTACAACAATTTCACCCCTCAAAATGAAGCCTGAATTGCATCGAAATCCCGCCCGGCGTGTCCCTCGAGGACTAGACTTGTATATCTGTTATACTATACGAGCAGCGGTCGTAACCGAGTATACGATGGGAAATCGAATTTGGCTAAAGAACGCTTCGGGTACATAATCAATTTTGCCTTGCGAAGCACGAAGAGTGAAGGAAATGTAAGATTTTATTATATATCTGAGCTGTGGCTCAGAAGGGCATTTGATTTTTCTTGACCTACCTTTACATTGTACTACTATTATACTATAAATCTGTATTGGTTTTTAGCTCATTGATTTACCAAGAGTTTTTTTAGTGTACTAAACAAAACTGGTTATCGTGAATTTCTTGTTACTTAGGGAGGTATGGGAATATTTTAAACTCAAACGCAATCTTAAGGACTGAGAAGAGGAAATTGCTGAAATTATTGCTGCTTCATGAAAAGCCGAGTATTTCTTCCATCAATATAGAGAGTAAGACGTCGACGATGTCCCTACGAGGATCAAAGGACCAAAAGGATCTAACCCTCGACTTCCTGTGATAAAGTGAAAGGGGCCGATTCAAAGGCACATATACAGGCAACTTGCACGTATACAAGCAGGGTAAATGTTTCTGACATTTTCCATCTCCATTGCGATTCGATGGCGATAAATCCCCTTTTTTTAAAACTTTTTTCTCGTTTTATCTATTAAATTTTTTTTTTTTTTCTTGTGATAGTTTTTTATTTGAAACTTATTTTCATCATTATAATAAAGCAACAAACATTGCACTTGTACGACCACTCACGAATGCATCTGATGGACGGTAATGCACAAAAACCCAAAAAAGCCTCGCACGTCGTCCGAATAAATAGCAGTAGCGATTCGTGAAAATGGCCAGTCCCGTTTGTCTTTTCGATAGCTTTTCCTTTCTTACCTCGTCTTCGAGA